CTTACAGATCATTAACTAAAAAAATGTTGTTTTAGGGTTTAGTTACCCTTTAAGTAGGAATGTGGTCTCAGACCTCTTTGTGTTCATACTGTTACTTTTTGGATCTAGTCCAGGTCAGTGTTTGATGGCTGACCAAAATGCGACCTCATTCACTTACATTGTATGTGCCTCACTAACCAAGATATTTGTTTGTGAAGATTATTATTATTTTTTAATTTTTATTATTATTATTTTGTAAAACGACATGCTGTTGAAAGAGCTTAAGTCTAAGTTGTTTATCTTTTGCAAGAAAATTAGCATTTTGTTGCAATACTACATCCATATTCTTGCACTATATCACACATCCGATCCAAAAATGTTTTTTAACATAACATCAGCATAGAAAAAAAAAATAGGACACAATATACAATAAAAGAAAGATGCAAGTGAAATAAACTGCTTTAAATTTTCCAGGTATAGTAAAGCAGTATTCAAGAAATGGAACAATCAAATGAAAAAAATAAAACTTCATTATCTTCACTGTATGAATACAACATATGATGATTCTACTGATTCTTATATTAGGCTGCTGTCACTTTAAGAACTACAGTAATGCACGGATCCAATATACTGATACACATACACGATTCCTATCCCAGATGTTTACATTCACTTAAGACAAAATCAACTGTTTATGTGAGCCTTTTGTGTTTTTTACACTTTAAACGCAATAAGACGCTAAAGAGAATTTAGTTTTGTACACACTCTGTAACAGCTGGCTTTCTGTTTATGTGCTTAAGGTGTGTGCGCTCGTAAAACTGTATATCAGAATTTTAAACTGGCAAGGCACAGTTTAAACAATTTGGAAGCGGTTGAAATTCGTCTACGTTGTGAAATAATAATTTGTAGAGATCTGCCAGAAGCAGCAGCCATGATGAACTGCCGATTGGTACAGAGGCATCTGATGACCAAACTTTTGTGAATAGAAAAATCAAGTTAGCCCGGACTGATTTTTGTTTACAATGGACATTTTTAGCAAACCGTACCATTAGCTGAAAGCGTAACACATTCAGACACCTCCCGAGATGGTCTCGGTTCGCTTAGCTTTTAAGGGGTTAGAGACCGCTTGTAGTGTTCACATATGGGCCAAAAAATTCACTCAAACTGCGGTTAGACCCCTGAAAAGGACCAAGTGTGAAAACACACTGATTTTCCACACCGTCTGTTTTAATTGTTTCAACAAACTGGCACAAGATGTTCTGTAAGCTGTCTAGGGTTCCAGAGCCACACAATGTGATTATTACGTATACACAAATACACAACCTGACTAGACATGCAGTTTCGTGAACATGAAAGTCACCAAGAAAGTTCAGAAACTCTCTGCCCCTCAAATCCAAACCACAAGGGTGCTCTGATTTCACTTATTTGATTTGATGTGGTAACATTAGTACCACTAGATCATGTTTGATATCAGGATGGGCCCCGATACGCATAAAGTGCATTTCCACATCTGCTAACGTTTCACTTTTCTTGGCCTGACTACAGCTGGGTGTTACACATGTGTGTCTGTGTGTGTGTGGGGTTGCCGTAGTCCTACGATGAGCTGCTCATGGTTGGAAATCCGGTGGATTATTTCATTCGCAAAGAGAAAGAGGAGAACAAGATGGCTCATTTTGTTCTGTGCTGAATTCCTGACCTATTTCGTCTCAGGCCTTAGGCTACACCGAAGACAATTGCCTTCGAATTTTTGACTTTGCCTTATTATCACACTTTTCTTTTCATTCGGAACAAGACAGTCTTCAATCATGTCTGAATTCAAGGGGGAAACCCCTTTGTTTTATCCATAAAGTTTTTATTCTTTAAGAAATCTTACACTACCGTTCAAAAGTTTACTTTTTTGTAAAGAAATTGCATTATGCATTAAATTGATCAAAAATTACAGTGAAGACTTTTATATTGTTAGAAAAAAATATTTCAAAAAAAAAAATCCACAAAAACAGCACAACTGTCAACATTGATAACTTTATTTATTGTGCACTTTACAACTTTGCAGGACGTTTACATTTACAAACAGCTGTATTACACACTGCATTAAAGGGAATATTCGACAAACTATAATAGGGGCACTTTAAATGTAGTGTATATAATTTTCAGTCCTTTATTCAGGGTTTTCAGATCTTATCAATATTGTTGTACTGTATCATTGTGAATGTTGCCTTATGTATTATTGAACATCATACATCATACGTATTATTGAACATCATTATTGATCATCTCTTATACAGTGTCTGACACTGAATTGTAAGTCTGGCATTCACGATCTTAAAGCTGCAGTCCGCAGTTTTTTCCCCTTTGTCGCCATCTCTGTTCGAAATCTGCAATTGCAGTCATTCGCGGAATTATCAACTTTACGTGAGTTGTACTTCGACACCCTCAACACGACACAGCGCGGATGAACACAATGTTTGAGGAGAGTGGGCAGCTGTGAATCTCCAGTTGTCACTGGTGATTGTCGTTTGAACCTTTCTGGATCCGCCATCAAATTGATAAGTTTAATTATATCAAGTGCTGCGAGAAAAGGCTTAAATCTCCACCTCCAACATCCTCACACGCAATATAGCGTATACTAGCCGAGACTCTTCTTTATGTGTACAGATGTGACGTAATGACGCAAAGACATGCTCGAATCTCCCGCGGAAATCCACCAGTACCACTGGAATTAAAAAACATTATTACAAGCTTACCGCTTTGAATCGAGCTAAGGCAAGCAGAGAGTTTTGAACACTGGCTGGTTATGTATTTTCTCAAATATGTATTTTGGATAATTTTTAACCCAAAAAAAGCTACGGACTGCAGCTTTAATTTAAACCTAAAAAAAGTAATTTTGAAAAATTTGAAACAAACAAACATTATAATAAAAAATGAACAAGAAATGTTCAAGATTCTTCACTGCTTCTAGGTCACTAGTCAAATAATCAAAAATGAATTTGCGATCATGTGACCTCACGATCAAATGTTCTTTCTTCCACTGAAGCACAAAATGGGACATCTCAAATCATGCAGGAGAACATGTAAAGCCATGACTCATTCCAATAACGTTAGGTCCCACCCTCATGCTTAGCCAATTGATTCACCGTACTGCCTGACATGTTCATGAGTCAATGTTTGTGTAATCTGTTAGAGAAATAAACGTTTGGTTGGAGTGTCTCGAACATGAAACAAGACTTGAGTTCAACGAATATGCCTGGTTGCTTTCAACCTTAGATTTATAAGCTACCACATGCTGTCAGTTACCTCAGACCATAATTTCAACTTGTCCCTCAGTGTATAAATGAATAGGAAACGCATTTAGAAATAAAATATACATGTAATGGAAATATTCAGTGGTGATTAGAATGCCGCACATGCAGTGTGTGGAAAAATCTCTCTATGGGTCAGTGACATAACTCCTTTTTTTTTTTTTTTTCTAGATCTATTTATCTGCGAGATGCGAAACTGCAATTCACATACATTGGATACATGTCTTCTGTAATGAATTTCTAAATTAAAATGTATTTTATATATATTATTTTTGGGAGCATAATGGTAACTTTTTTAAAACTTTTATAGTAATATGTTTCTTGCAGAAAAACATATTTCAGCATTAATTTACCCTTTATATTAATATGTTGCTTGCAAAAAGTATAAAAATACATACATTGGATTAAAACCTCTTTTGTAATGAACATGTTTTTAATTTTCAAATTAACATAAATTATTATATATTATTTTTGGGGGGCATAAATTGACCTTTTTTGACCCTTTATGTTAAAATGTTGCTTGCAAAAAACTGCAAAACTACATACAATCCTTTGACTACACCTCTTCTTCAATTAACATGTTTTTTGAAATAATAATTTATAAAATGACCCTTTATATAAACAGACCCTTTAGGAATATGTTCCCTCCAAAACCTGGGTGTCAGAGAGATGCTTTTTAGCTCCCAAATGGTGTAGTAACGTTATCTACCAGCAGGGGCAAACTGAGTCACGCTAACCAGCAAAACCAACAACATTAGTTTGGAAATCACAATATTTCTTTAATTACATAAATAACAGTGGGCTTGATGTGGTCAAGTGATGCCGTAAAAACCGCTGGAAGAGAGACATTTGTCTTTTTCGTTGTGATTAGCAAGATTAAATAAGCATGTTCCTTCAAAACATTTGCTTTGAATGCCGTTTCAGCTTGACAAAGATGCTCCGCAGTGCTGTGCTAAACAAAAAGCCATTGCGTGTTTGAAAAGGCATCAATTGGGTGGTGATGACATGAGTGTTTGTAGACATGTTCAGTTTAACAGCGGTGAGAAACGGCGGAGGTATGTGCCTAATGTGGCTGCGGGAAGCAGTTTGCCCAGTCACTCTTCACGTTTTCTGCTTTTGATTACATTTTCAATAAACATGTTCTTGCATCCCAATGTTAGCCCATTGAACTGGTACCAAAGGTAAACAAACTGCTGTCAAACTGGCCGTAATGTGATTTCGCCACATATACTGCAATTTTCTGCAGGCCTCTCATCTTTTCTTACCCGTGAGGTGCAATATTCCCAAAACACGTTGAACGTTGCTCTGATAATACTGCGGGATTACGGATCCATTCCAGACCTGTGAATCAGCCGGAGCAGGTGGCGTGTGCTGGGGGGTTCCCGCGCTTACTGAAACACTTATCTTCGCCTGTCCAACGTCTCGAACTTTAGCAGCAAAGATGTACAGAGAGATTTGCGAAGGAAACCAAAGAGTCATTGTTCTATCTAGTGAATGACTGTTATTGTAGGGAATGGGACATGAACTGAAGTGTGATAAATGATCAGTAACTTGTAATGAATGCTATCTGAAAAGATGGCATGCGTGTGTTTTGGTTCTTGCACAACCACATGGTTGTTCTCTTTATTGTTTACTAGGCACTCACTAAAAGCTCTGTCTATTGTGTTTTGGTTGGCATGCCTTGTTGATGTCTTAAGATGTTTGTGTCTTTGTTTCCTGCAGTAACCACAACGTTTTCTACCGGTTCGGGCCACGCCAGAAAATGCAACGACACAGAGAAGGCATACTGCGTGAATGGCGGTGACTGTTACTACATACATGGTATAAATCAGTTTTCCTGCAAGTGAGTTTCTCTCCATTTCCTTTACTCTAATGTCAGTCTATTTCCACATGTATTATATTTGCTCTTAATGTATATGGGTTCTTCTTAAACTGTAGGCACTTTAGGTTCATCATAATGTTTCCTCATAAGTGAGAGATTAAGAACTGCACGCTAAGTGAAGTAAGAATCCCTTGCCTTATTCCAGCAATGGCCAAATGGTATCTATCAACTTGCCCATCCTTTTCTTTGTAAACTCTCTCTCTCATTCTCTCCATCTATCGCATCTGTCTTCGGTCGTGTCCCTCTTGTGTCGAGGTACTGCGTGTTGACTCACTGGTGCAGATGTTGATGAGTGCGATATGACTGTGATGTGCTTGGGGATTTTGAAAAAACAGACCTCTCGTCCCCCTCCGCTGGCCCACGTTTAGCGTGCTGGAGCGGTGTGCATCAAACCATTGTGAAATGCCATGTCATGCTGGTTTAGAGCTAGAACAAATATTTACAAGAGCCAGAGGCCTCCCACAAGGTAAATAAGTCAGTTTGCTTACATTTCAATCACAGGGGAAAAGGACACCGATTTACACAGATGCCTTTAAAACGGGGGTGCTCAAGACATCTTGTTATGGGCCGAAAAATTTTTTTCGCCCGCATTATCAAAACAAGACCAGGGCGATTAAGTAGCTGCGAAGGGCAAGGTAACAAACAAGGATGCAGGAGCACATGGAAACGAGTTTGTGTTTGTTACCAGCTCTTATAGAAGGGAATGTAAGGTGCTGTTTCTCCTCTACTTCTGCTTCTTCTTCTTCTTCTTCTTCTTTTAAAATCAATTTCTGACCGCATGTTGCGCCATGTTATGAGTGCACCTCCTGGTGTTTTCAGCCCAGATGCACGCCATGCGTGCTTGCGCGTGTGCGTCCCTGGAAAACTGCTTGGCAAGCAAACTGCCGGGACATGGCTGCAACAGCCATTCAATACGTTGTGTACAAATTGGAAGGAGCAATAACTCAATTGCTGCAGCTAATTCACTCATGGGTGAGGCACAGGTCCAGAAAAGTCGGATAATGCAGTCGAGGCCCGCTGGGAAATGTTGCCCCAAAGCTATCTCATTCAATATAGGCCAGGCTTCCATAGGAATTACTCACCGGCTGAACAAGTCTAGCCATACAAGCTACCTCATATTTATGGCTGCCTCCTTTTCATTGAAATACAAAGTTCCACACACACATATGGGCTGAAGGAAGAAGTAATAAATGACCAGGGCTAAAATTATTTTCTTGCTGGATTGATGGGGGGGGGGGAGAGTGTATTTCACAGCCCTGCCAAGTTACGGCAGCTCCACACCCCTGTCATGTTTACATAAGACTGGGACAGATGACAAAACTGAGGAGGAGAGAGAAATGCCAGAGGAGATTCATTGCCCGCCACTGAGGGGGGCCCTGTAGTATTCGGCTCTGCATCAAGGACAAGTTCTGATCTGAAGACTGTAGGTTACTGAGTTTTGTTTTTAGTGGCCATCTTTAACTATATTATTCACTTCTCATGAACACAGTACACATTGTTTGTGAGTGAGTTCGGTTATAGAATGTGGTTGTCACTCCTGTAAATGACTGAACTGTGTGTGACCGTAAACACAAATCGCATACCAAATACAGGACTGACAACCGTATTCTGCTGTTTTGTGAAAGTCTCTTCTTAAAATGGTTATTTTGGCCTGTCCCACTTCTGATGTCCTGATGTTCCTGACTGTATCCAGCAATTAAAATCATAGAACAGTGAAAAGAAAAAAAACATAACATTAAAAAAAAAAAACTTAAAATATTTTGTAACATTCCTTAAACTCAAGAAGAACATTATTTGGACATTATTTGTGTACAGCACAATGATAAAACAAGTAAATAATCTGATTCTATTCTGAATTGTAACAAAAAAAAAATTGGTTTACTGCACCCATTAAGGTCAACCTTCAATTCTACAAGTTACTGTAAGAAAAAATACCAAATATCTTTTCTTTAATTAATTGAAAATACAAGTTTATTGCTAATTATGAAAGTGCATTTGGTCGCTAGCATAGACAGTAAAAGAAATGGACAGAGCGATCTCATTGGAACTCAGTTGAGACAGTTGAAGCCCACTTTTAGCGATTTTTGAGAACTTCCGTTCCTGACGCGCAGACTCAAACCGACTCAAACTAAGCTTGATGACGTGAGCAACCTGTCTGACAGACGTTAATCTTCTAGTAGCTGTGCGTGAAAACTGCCAACGTTAATCTTGCAGAGACGGGGAACTTGAGCAAAGAGTTATTTGGCGTGAGTGAGCAGGAGTAAGTATTCCGTTGCTTTTATGGACTCATTATCTATAGGCTTCTCCCTTGACGGGACGTCCCCCCGATTGCCTGCGAGCTTCTCCTCCTGTCTGTACGGTCATTTCTGTACAGCGCGACAGAGAGTCGAGTGGTTATGACGCAATCGTTAGCCTATTTTTACTAAATCTGTTTCTACGGGGCCATAGTGTAACATAGAAGGTAATGGAGCCCTTTATACATTGTCGTGTTTCTTTAGAAATAAATAATGGACAAATGGAGTCTTTAAACGCCTCAGATGTAAAGTTATTCGCTGTCAAAGTGACGCAAAAATGAATGGGAGTCAATGGAAATGCTAACGCAAGTGAAGTTCTGCTACAACATGGCGGCACCCGGCCGGCTTCAACTTCCGGTCGATGGATTACCCCCTTGGTCGCTAGCCTATTCTGCATAACAACTTAAAGCTGCAGTCCGGCGTTTTTCCTCTTTGTCGCCATCTCTGTTCGAAATCTGCAATTGCAGTCATTCGCGGAATTATCAACTTTACGTGAGTTGTACTTCAACACCCTCGACACGACACAGCGCAGATGAACACAATGTTTGAGGAGAGTGTGCAGCTGTCAGTCACCGCGCCGATGTGGATACTGGCATTCAGAATCACAGATTAATCTTTTGGAAGTATGACCAACCTTTATTCCAATCTTTGGTATTCCAATCTTTTGGAAGTATTTTTACCGGAAAATGTCATCTGAACTAGTAAGAAACATCCACTTTTGTTCTGGTTCTGACATTGCAGTAAATTGCGCTGATTAAATCTAACAATCGCTTATAAGTTATCATATCACACAAAACCGTGCAAATTATTCTTTGTTCTCAAATTGTTAATGTTAACAACGTCAGCATTGCGTGACTACATGTAATGTCCTTCCGATATGTATCCTTGTTTTCGCACGGGGCCGGTTGCAGTCTCTTTTTTTCTGTAGCCACTCCGAAGTCCGAACGAAGTCTTTTGCATTTTACAGCGGGTGAATCTCTTGTCACTGGTGATTGTCGTTTGAACCTTTTTGGATCCGCCATCAAATTGATAAGTTTAATTATATCAAGTGCTGTGAGAAAAGGTTATAAATCTCCACCTCCAACATCCTCACACGCAATATAGCGTATACTAGCCGAGACTCTTCTTTATGTGTACAGATGTGACGTAATGACGCAAAGACATGCTCGAATCTCCCGTGGAAATCCACCAGTACCACTGGAATTAAAAACATTATTACAAGCTTACCGTTTTGAATCGAGCTAAGGCAAGCAGAGAGTTTTAAACACTGGCTGGTTATGTATTTTCTCAAATATGTATTTTGGATCATTTTTAACCCCAAAAAAACTACGGACTGCAGCTTTAATTTAGGATATATATCACTTGTATTTAATCTTTTTTTTTTTTGCTAGAAAAATACACAATCAGGGTTTTAAACGGCATTTTTCATGTCCCAAATTTTGTTAATCGATAAAACCTCATATAAAATGAACAGAAAATAAAACCACTTATAAAATATTTAGTTTGACCTCCTGAGGTTGACGATCAACAAGTTAAGTGCCTCCTTTCACTGACCATTTGTTGAAAAAAACGCAAACTTCATTTTTTTAAGAGCTTCAGGCACTTTTGTGTACTCTGTTCGTGGAAAGAGCCATTAAACTTTCCAAATATTAGTGCATGAAAACAGCTGCATCGAAAGTGTTTTTTTTTTTTTATAACAGCAGTTCTTTTCGTCAGACCAGATGCTGCATCCTTCATTATGTAACACAATGAAGATCAAGAGATCAGGCTTCATTTCCATGAGAATGTCGTTTAGGTATGACGTGTGCAGGAAAAATTCTACATTATTTTAATTAATTCTGACAAATTCGCCGGCAGGATAGAAATGATGCAAAGCCTTCTGGGTCAGAACGGACTTCTTTAGGCAGTGCTGGTCCTCTCATTTTACAGAGTTACAGTGACCTGATCGAAGGCAACAGGACGCAGAAGAAAGACCCCCTTTGCTCTTCTTGTTTTTTTTTTCTCTCTCAGCGCTTTAGTGCAAAGACCTTCTCATGAATACGGCAGCGTTACCCAGTGAAACTTCAGCTACAGCCTTCAGCTATTTGACTGAATAGTTAAAGAAAACTGATTAGCAGAATGACAAAACATAAAGATTCAGTAAATAAATATTCTATGTAAGTACAGTTGCATTTTAGCTTTTGATGATTTGATTGATATTTCTGTGTAATTTGCCAGTGGTGCTGGTTAGAGACTGATGTGTGTTTAAAACAGGATTAGATGATGTTATAACTAGCAGACTGAGGGAGCTATGTTTAGGGTTTAGGTTTTTAGTCTGCAGTGATCTCTATTACAGTGTATTCCACTGTAAGTGTGAATATGGGTTGTTCATTTTGGGTGTGTTCACACTTGTCAGGTTTGGTTGGATTAAAACGAACTCTGGTGTGATTGCTCTGTTAGTGTGGTTCATTTGAATAAGTGTGAACGCTGCCATCTGAAACCTGGTGCGCTCCAAATAAGCGAAAAGATGGGTCTCAAGTCCACTTCCAAACCAACTTATGGTGCGATGTGACTGAAATATGAACGCAACATGGACCAAAGACATCTAAACAAACCAAAAACAGGATGTGATGGCATGGACATACCTGAAGCATACCTGTTTTTTTTCTGGCCATTTGAACTATGTTG